TCAATGTAAAGTTTTCTCATTCTCTTTCGCACCCAATCGCCTCTTACGTATTAGTGGCATTATCACTTTGCTTGGGATGAACTGATTAATATATATATATATATATATATATATATATATATATATATATAATGATAAATTTAGGTCTGATATATTCGTAGAAAGCTCACATTGTGCCGCAGTAAACTGAAAAATACACAAAAGAAGCTATTCATGGATGAATGGCCTTTTCAGAGACATCCTCCTGTGTTCGACAGTCAGCGCATGCCGTTTCAAGCACCAACAGTAGTCAGTGAGAAAGTTTACATTTCAACGGCCTTGGTAGTACTCTTCCATAATGCGAATGACTTGGCGAAAGCGCTCACCCTGCTCTTCACTCAAATCTCCACAGTTCTTTGGAAAATAGTCGAAGGGAATGAGGATGAATCGAACGGAAAGTACAGTTTAACTGACTCTTCAATTTCCTTCTCGTATTCTACACTCCGGTGATTTCCCAGACATTTTGTAACTACTGACTTCAGTGACTGCCAGTCAAACATTTTAGCTTCGCTCAGTGCTTCGTCAAACATGGGGTCCTTCATGAGTTCTCTTATTTGAGGGCCGTCAAATATACCAGCCTTGAGTCTCTCCATGCTTATTTGTGGAAACTTCTGGAGGAAAGCAGACCCGCTGCCTTCCCTGTCCATTATTACTCCTAACTTGAATAACGACCACTCTTGTCTGACATAATGTTGATCGTCAGCCCGGCATTCCCAGAGATACAGAAAACAAGGATACTTTGTGTACCCACCTTGGAGCCCTAGGACCAGTCCAACCACCTTAAGATCTCCACAGATCAACCATTTGTGCTTCTGGCAGTTAAATTTTTAAGATACAAGCTCTTAATTGAAATGTATAGAGCAGTATTATAACTTTATAATTCATTTTCTTGTTGAATTAAAGAAATCCTGCTTACTGACATTCGTGTCCCGATTTGGCGAAAATTCTTCAGTAGCTCTTCAATGTCCTTCTCGTATACCGCATTCCATTTTTGGTTATCAATTTGATTTTTCATAAAATAAATTATAATTACATTTTATTCAGTTGCATATTCACCATGATTTGCAATGGCTTGCTGCGACATATCGGACGTATAAATCTGCATTTAGTGTTTCATTACGTTTTGAGGAAATTAAATGAATATCGAGACCATTCCACCACAAGTGCAACAGTACCTATCTTTCATGGAGCTCAGGTTTTGAGAAGCTCGGCCATAGAAATTTATCCTTCTTAAAACCTTTTGCTCTGAACATTGTCGTATATAATCCACTTTTCATCATTTGTAATGATATATTTAAGGAACAATTAGTTAGGATGGTACATTCGGCCTTGCATGGAATACTGCTGCCATTTATGGTCTGGACCCCCCGCTGTTCGTTTTAAGGTCCTCGACAAAATCCAGAGACGGATATGCAATGTGATTGGCCCTGATCTGGCATCTCGTTTACAGTCGTTCTCTCAAAGACATTGCGTCGATTCCCTCTGTCTTTTATACAAATACTTTCACGGTAACTGCTTCGACGAGCTATTTTCGCTGGTTCCCAAACTGCATGAATTTAAGCGTACTACTAGTCTGGCATCTCAGTCCCATAATTTTCACTGTTGAAATGGTTAAATGCAGCCGTCTTTTCTACTCCAAGACTTTCATGTCCCGCACTTCCCTTACCAGGCGAGCTTGTTAATTTTTATTAATGATCACTCCCCAGCTTATTTATTATGGGACAGCGGTTGTATAATAATACAACATGCGACCTCTCTCCCATATTTCTTGTAACATTTAAAGAATGAAATACATATGCGAATCTATCAACAACTGTTGCACAGGCGTTGGACAATAGTAATTTATTCTGTCCCATAATTCTTGTCCCATTTAGTATATGAAATCTGGATGCAAATGTAAGAATTATTATGGGGTTGATTTTTTTTTCTCGCTTTGAATTAAAAACACTTTAACGGTATTCTTTTAAAATTTTATCCACCCACAGACAAAAAGAATGGGTATACTTAACCTTTTTTTTTTGTGGTTCTTCACCTATTTCCTTATTTTAGGTTGAGATGGATCAACCAATCCTTCCTATGGAATTAAACATAGATTTTATCTGTTTGCATCTCGCGTTACCCTCACGAAATGATGGGAGGTGCGCCGGGTGTCTGAGTTGAGTCGTTCAGCAATTTCGAAAGATACTTCCTGCCAGTGATTGACACCTACATGGGTTTTCCCCCCCTTTTTTTCATAGTCCGGTGTTTATATTACCGTAATAGTCTGTAGTTTATTTACAAAACTTTATACCACAGTTTTATTGTATGTTTGGAACGCAAGCCGTAAGATGTATATTCGGATGTTTCTAGATGAAGAATCTGTCATAGTCTAATTCTACTTGTCTCTCAGTTCCTAGTTAGCACGTACATTACGACCTGTCATTACCTCAGATAAATAACGGACCATTCCGTTTTGATTGCGAGGAAAGACGGAAGGAAAAAAGACATATCGGAGACGCTGTTTGCTTTTAGTGAAAGAA